TTACACATATGCTTCACAGTTTGCAGGTGCAGCACAGTCACTTGGTGCTGGAGCTATTCTTGTAAATCCGTGGAATGTAACAGAACTAGCTGCTTCTATTGACTATGCTTTAAGAATGCCTGCACATGAAAGAGAGAAACGACATCACCTTAATTTCATGCATGTCACAACTCATACATCCCAAGAGTGGGCGGCAACTTTTGTTAGGTATGACCAAACAAAAAAAATCATGACTACAATGTTGGGTTGTGAGGGTTCCTTTACGTAGGACCTATTTATTGCAATCGTTTCAGATATTGGTAACGGGATGATACTTATGAAAACTAACCCATCAATAGTTTTTGGAAGTTGATTTTTCTTATTCTTATGGCTAATTTTTTGTGAAATGTAGTGAACTCAATGATACAATTGTTGAAGCTAAGCTGAGGACCAGTCAAATTCCTCCCATGCTTCCTACCAATGCTGCTATAGAGCATTATATGCAGTCAAAAAATCGATTGCTGATACTGGTAAGCCATTTCCCAAATGCGATCCTTGCATCTGTTTCCATTTTGTTACTAAACTGAATGAAGAGTTTCATATTCTCTTATAGGGATTCAATGCAGCATTAACTGAACCACTGGATACTCAAGAAAGGAGAGCAGACCAGTTAAAGGATATGGACCCCAAGTTGCATCCAGACCTGAAAGAACCATTAAAAAGGCTATGTGATGATCCAAACACCACAGTTGTTGTCCTCAGTGGCAGTGACAGAAATGTTCTGGATGAGGTTGTGACTTCTGGATGTTAAGGTTATTTGATCCATTATGTTCTTGTATTCTTACCTTCTTCTTTTTCGGGCAGAACTTCAGTGGATATAACATGTGGTTGGCCGCCGAACATGGGATGTTTTTGCGGTTTACTAAAAGTAGCTGGATGACAACAATGCCAGAGAATCTACATATGGATTGGGTTGACAGTGTGAAGGTGCATTCATAATCATGTTCAAATCACTAACTGCTTAACTTTGTAATGCTCGTTCACATTTATTTATATCGTTTTTATACCATAATCTTCAGCATGTATTTGAGTATTTCACTGAGAGGACTCCTGGCTCTCATTTTGAGATTCGTGAGACATCACTTGTGTGGAACTATAAATATGCTGGTAATTTTCTGTCCCCATCCATCTGAATACCAAAAATAGTGAACATTATTATTACATATGTATTGAAAATACTACTCCAATCAGATGTTGAGTTCGGGAGGCTTCAAGCAAAAGACTTGTTGCAACATCTTTGGACTGGTCCGATCTCAAATGCTTCAGTAGATGTTGTTCAAGGTACCCGATCTGTTGAGGTCCGAGCAAACGGGGTTACCAAGGTTTGGGTTTCTTACAATTCTTTTCTTGTTTCTTTTAATGGCGAAACTACCCTAAGTTCCAAGTTCATGCTATGCAGGGTGCAGCAATTGATCGAATTTTGGGAGAAATCGTGCACAACAGCAAGGTCAAGAAACCCATAGATTATGTTCTTTGTATTGGCCACTTTCTCCCAAAGGTGTGCAACCCCCCATGCATGCTACATATTAAACTATTCTCAGTTTCTCACCTTTGTACAAATGTTAATGATGTCTCTCAATACTACTCCCTCCGTCCCATAATTATCTGCTTGTTTGGGATTTACACATTTTTTGATAGGAAAATTTACACATTTTTTAATGAAGTAGAATTTGTGTGCTTGTTATTTGATCATAGGACAGAGAGATAATATGGACCACACACACTTTTCCTTAAAAATTGTGAAAGAAAATTTTGGGACAACCAAAATAGGAAAGTAGGAAGGGTATTAGCTTTCATGCCTTCAGAGTTAAATCAGTGAAAACCAACTTCTTTGAGTATGCAAGTCCCTTGAAATGGTTGCTCTTCTTTTAAAAAGAAGGAAATTCATAGCTGACAAATGAATCATGTGATGCACACAGGATGAGGACATCTATACATTTTTTGAGCCGGATCTTCCACACGGACCATCTGCAAGGGCCAAACTACCAAACCAGACGAATAAAAACGCTTCAGGTAAAGGCGGGGTGATTAGGGAGCCCGTCAAAAAAAGCGTGGAGCCCTTTTTTACTTCGAAGAGCATCGATGGAAATGGAAATTGGTGGTCTCTGATGCGTGAGAAGATGACAGTGAGCGAAGGGTCATCGGTTCTTGATCTCAAGGGGGAAAGTTACTTCTCTTGTGCAGTAGGCCGGAAGCGTTCTTGTGCCCGATACCTCCTCGGCTCATCTGCTGAGGTTGTGTCTTTGCTCAAAAACCTTTCAGATTGCTCATCTGCGCTGCCATTGAACTGACTTCAGGAGCTTTTTTTTAAAGTCATTTTGGAGCTTCTTTTCTGCTATGTATGCTTTTAGTAAACAAAACTAAATGGGTCTTGGCACTTGAATCTTGGTGCAGACAGACAATAGCTTTTGTATGCCAACACCAAAGGGCAATAAAAATTGCTGCTATTTTGTAGCAATTGGTTATGTGGGTGTTTATTATTTCATGAAAAACGATTTTAAAAAACTTTAGTCAAACATCATAAACCAAAACAAGCGATTTAAATTGAGACGGAGAGGATATATTATTAATTACTCCCGGTAATACCCTAGGACTTAGGTGGGGCTGGTGAAATTTGATTTCAGTGTTGTAAGTTAGCAAGACCCCAGGATACTAAGAGAGGGAGCATAAAGTTAGATGAGTAGGGTGTTAAATGGGTGCTTCATTGTGATTGGGTTAAAATTGATAGTCCGGGTACATACTCCCTCCCTTCTTGAAAAGAGTTCTACTTTTGACAAGTGATAAAATAAGAAAGTGTTAAATTGTACGTAATAATTGATTTCGAATTTTGCCCTTGATGTGATGGGTAAAAGTAAGATGTGATGGATAATTTATTACTCGTAGAAAAAAGTGTAATGTGATAGGTAGAGTAAAAAAAATAGGGCTAAAAAGGGTTATTTAATATAAACTGGAAGTGTTTTGTTTTGGAAGCGGGAAAAATGAAAGAAGAATTGTTTTTGAAAATAGAGAGAGTATATGGATATAAAATTATCATTACTGTTACATCAAATTATTATGGAATGTAAAAACTCATACTGCTCTTACTTGTAATGACCCCGTTTGGCATCAACGTTAGAGATTAGCTTAGTGTTTTGAAAAGGTTATCCAACGGTAGTTTTAATTTTAGCGTTAGCGTTTTCAAAATCAATCTACACCATTAAAATTTTATCCAAAACGCTGACGCTAATCGAACATGCTGTTTCGAAACAAGGCCAATAATGACTTCCTTTTTTTTAAAAAAAAAGACATTGAACAACTCATTGTTTCTTAAATTAGGAGAGAAAAAATAAAGGTGAAATTTCATTTGGATGGATGGATTAATAATTGATGAAGTAGATTGTCGGCAAGTATGGCAGTGCCTACTGTATTAATTTCTGCATTATAAGTTGAAGGGATGAAGCTGAAACCATGTGCGGGGCCCGCTACTGAATCTACAACTTCCCCTCATAAATGCGTAACTTGGTCAACCATAGGTTATTGTACCTTATACTCCCTTCGTCTCAATGTATTCGTTATTTGTAGGCATTAGCCCATCTCCGACACATTACAATAAACTCAAACTCAAAATGCACTGCAAACACAAAATGTAGAAATTTAAATTTATACCAAATTCAAACTCAAAAAAATGCACTCTTCTTTCTCACTACTCTTTTTACTTTGCAACTTTAAATAAACACAATAATAGCACTACCTTTTTAGTTAAACTAATATTAGGTTCGGTGGCCACTGGATTTCAGTGGCCATCGAAACCACTGCCCCCCTAATTGGGTGAGTGACTTCTATAGTCACTCTTTTTGAGTGACTCTAGAACCTAGCTGCTAATAATAATACTATTGGTAGGAATAAAGAAAATCAGAAAAAAGGAATTGTGTATTCAAAACGCAAGTTGCGTTTGAGGATAAGAGAATCTTAGATGAATTCTACCTTCTTTATACATTTTCATTATCGATCATTTGATAAAATAATTTTATCATCACTTGTTTTGTATGAAATAATAGAACTTTTGATATCATTTTTATTCTACAATTTTTGTTTTTAAATTCTATATCAATTTTTATTTATATTGTTTTAAGAATAAACTCAGTAAATAGAACTGGAACCCTATTTTAGAATGAACAGAATATGCGCAAAAAAATTATGATGTCAATGCAACTTTGATACTCCCTCAGTTTGCAAAAAGACTTCCTATTTTGACTTGGAGCAAAAATACAGAAGTGTTAAATTATAATTGACTTCCAATTTTGCCCCTAATGTGATGGATAAAAATAAAATGTAATGGATAGATTATTAGAGAAAAAGTATATTATGATGTGATAGGTAGGGTATGAAAAAGTAAGGGTAAAAGTGGTTTTTTAAAAGAAAGTGGAAGTATTTTGTTGGAAGTGGAAAAAATGAAAGAGGAATCATTTTTGAGAACGAAAAGAGTATCAAATTTGATGAGTTTCTAACATTTTGCTAATTAATTACGGAGTATTACTATACTTTGTATTTATTTCTTTCGTCTCACTCATATGAATTGAAGAATCAATGTCAATTGCCTACACTACATTGCAACAATATTTTCTTCAACGCATATACTTATTATAATCTATAATAAATAAATAGAAATTTACTTAAATAACACTAAAAGATAGTTAATTTTTCGGTATAGCACTAACCGGTTTAATTTTCATAATTAGTATCTAATTTATTAATTAAATATTAATTCTTTCTTTATACTCCCTCCGTCCCAAAAAGATTGGTACGTATTGACTTTTTGGGAAATTAAGGGAGGGATATTTTAGTGTTGACTTTCCAAAAATACCCTTAATGTGATGGGTAACAGTAGGATATGATGGGTAGATTATTAGAAAAAAGGTATGATGTGATTGGTAGGATATGAAAAAGTAAGAGGTAAAAGTGGTTTTTTAATAGAAATGTAACGGACTTTACGGGACGCAATTTTTTCAAAATGTGTCGGACTTTTTGGGACGGAGGGAGTGATTTTATATTTACTACCCCATCACGTCTTATCGTCATTATTTTCCAATCACCGATCACAAAATGCTAACGTCTGTGTTGCACAGTCACCCCGTTAATGTCCATTATGCATGGTTTAATGAATTTCATGGTTTCACTCCATTGCAAAGACATTGTCGATTAAAAAAGATACTTTCATCAATGTTCATTGCATTGGTCATCAATGTTCCGGATTAGTAAATATAATGTCCATAATTTTTTCATTGTCTCATGCTCATAATTTTTATAATGTGTTTTGAATCAGTAAACAATATCCATAATTTTTACAATGTCCATCAAATGAAAAAAATATAAGCAGACGAATCAAGAAGAGATAAAATCAATCAAAGTGAGAAAAAATATAGTCTATTTTTTATACAGAATACAAAATAATTAAGATATAAGAGTGTTTTAGTAAATACAGAGTAGATATTGTTAATAATTGATTAACTAATTAAATTAACCTTATTTTTGGGGCGAAAACTTTTTCGGTGCCATTTAGAGAAAAATGTGTTAAATTTTGATGTTACTTAGCTTAGAGCAAATTTCACATTATTATCCAATTCTATCCATGTTTTTCCGTAATGAATGATGATGAATTGAAATATAAATCCATTAAAATATAAAAATGCGAGTAATGGATCGTATATTAAGAAATACGGAGTAGATTAAACATACACCTTAACAGATATATAGAAATAAAAACACTAACACTAAACACAACTCGAAGTAAAAATGTGAATAATAATCGATTAGCGTTAACGTTTTGGATAAAATTTTAATAGTGTGGATTAATTTTAAAACACTAACATTAAACACTGATCGTAGATAATTTTTTTAAAACGCTAACACCAAATAGACCCTAACAAATAACAACCTTCACCATAGCCCCTATAATTACCCTGGTCCATTTCTTTAATTCTTGGGACATTTTTTTACTATTTGCCTTCAATTCTTTCTATTGGTGCATGCAAAATGCCAATAAGTCATCACCAGAGAGGGGAAATTAGGGCCACCACTCAATTCTCATCCGCGTATAATCAATGCATTCTAACTAACTCTATCCCCATATAATACTTTCTCACAAATTTTTCAGGTTTAAACTTTTAAAAAATTTAAATAGAATATATTTTAATGTTGATTTTCTAAAAATACACTTAGATTTGATATAAAAAAATAACAATACTCCATATACAAAAGTCCATATAGACTTTCCCTACAAAATCCAAATATGAGTAACTTTTTAGTGGTTTGTTTGTCAAATCTTCAATTATTCTAATCCTAATTAAAATTGATACAATTTGATAATAATTGATTTTATTGAATATTGTAGGATATATTCCTATTTATAGGGATTACATGAGAGAGTTTTAATTATAGCAGGAGAACAACTATGATAATAATACAATTAGGATAACAATATGATAAGGAAAGTAATTAAATATACTCGGGGTAATATTTATTTACTTTCAATTAAATGTAATGTTTCGGCTTCAGGTCAATTTGGATTCGGGTTAAGAATTGTATGTTCGTGACCCAGTATCATCGATTTCGAGTCAACCCAACGGGTTATGACTTGAGTTTTTAAAATTTTGAAATTCATATTAGCACCTGTATTTCACATGACATTAAATAAAATTTAAAACAAAAAATAGGAAAAATTATCTTAAATAATCCAAGCCTTTCAAGTTTTTTTATAAAAATTATCCCAATTTTCACTGTCACCTGAAATAATTCTAACTTTTTGTATGTGTGTGAGTTTTGGGCCGCCGTTAAAAAGATAACGGCCACTTAACAGAATTTTTTAAAAATGCCTAGTTTTCACAAATAAATTTAAGATGAGACTATTTTAGGCAAATAAAAAATGCATATTTTTTGGAAAAAAATAAGATAATTTTGTAATATCATTAAAATTTTGTCTAAAAGAATAAATTTATACATTAAAAACAAGTATTAAGAAAAAAGCATAATTATAACCTTAAAACTTTGTCTAAAAAATTCTTTCATTAGCGGGTTGGTTTGGTCAGGTTCAGGTTCGGTCGGATTTGACCCATTTTTAGTGGGACATTTTGTATTTGGTCAACTTCGTGTTCCGTCAACAAGATTTTTGTTCAAAACCATGTGTTTTCAGGCCGGGTTTCAGATAAAAAACAGATCGAGTCATTTTTTGGCAATTCTAAATCTTTGATATATAAGGGAAAAAATATTTCTTCTCAAAATAAACTTTCACCATAAAATGATATTCAAGGAAAACTATCTTTCCATAATTTTTCATTTTTGGTAAAAATATTTTCCCAGAAACTCATTTCTCATTATTTAGATTTAAAATTGACATTTAAAATATGTTTTGAGAATATTTTAAAATAATTTAACAGGTTGGCTTATTGCGTTCATAATGGTCTAGTGTGGCATAAAACACACCATAAGGAGTGTTGGAGTTATTCCATGTATACTATAAATACAAATATAAATAAATGAAACTTTTACTTATTTAGTACCCGATAACAGCTAGCTTATCTAGCGGCCGATCTAGAAATTTTGATAGCGCGAGATATTATTGGTTAGGGTGCAACGAAGGCCAAGCCACGGATTTATTTTTAAATGAAATCTAAGATCACAAATAAGTTAATGAACCGAACATGAGCCTTATTCTGGAACGGAGAGAGTATTAGATAATAGATCTGCCCAGCCTTTATATTTCACCAAAAATGCTACTCCCTTCGTCCCAAAAACACCTTCCACTTTCTCTTTTTATTTGTCCCACAAAATTATTTTCATTTATATATAAAACCTACTTTTAAGTCTATTAAATCTTAACATACCTATAACATCATAAATTTTTATTAATATTCTACACATTACATTTTACTTTTATCAATCACATTAAAAGTATTTTTAGAAAGTCATTACAAAAATATCTCTTCTTTAAATTTCTTAAAAGTCATACTGAGAACATCTTTTTAAAATAGAGTAAGCAACTCCATTCCTAGTGTGATACATATTTTGATGTTTATCCCTTTCTTACACATATTAATGAGAAAGGTGTGGTATCAAATTTGATGTACGTACCAAAAACGAATCATATAATACTATCACTCCCTCTCACAAAACATTTCTAGTTTTGACTTTAAAAGATTTAAGGAGAGTGTTTTTTTAGTGTTGATTTTTCAAAAACACACTTGAATATCATTGTTAAAATTAAGTATGATGTGATGAGTAGATTAATAGTAAAAAAATATGATAAAATAAGTAGGTTAAAAATTAGTATGGATAAAAGTAACTTTCTAATAGAATTGAAAAATATGTTTTGGAACGAATGAAAAAAGAACACACTACATTATTAGGGCTTGCTACTAGCTAGCTAGCCTAGCTATAAATAGTCTCCTAGCTAGCTAGGTACATCTCTCCCCTCCCCTTCGGTTTTCTTCAATATATATACTCCGTAATATATATAACTATATATACATACATGTATATATAGCTAGTTCATTTCTTCTTCACATGTCTTGAATTTGCTTGCTATATATATATATTTACACACATCAATAATTCTTGAGCAAATAAATCAAAGTGAAGGCATTTGGGTGAGGGGTGATGATGATGGTGATGGTGATGGGGCATGCCATGATGATGATGGTGATGATGGTGATGAATGGGATTGCAGATGGAGAGCCACAGGTTCCATGCTACTTCGTGTTTGGGGACTCTCTAGTGGACAATGGAAACAACAACGACATGGGGTCCTTGGCTAGGGCCAATTACATGCCCTATGGCATTGATTTCCCCGGTGGCCCTACCGGAAGGTTCTCCAATGGCAAAACCACCGTTGATGTCATCGGTATGTATGCATGCATGCATTTTTGTTTATTTATTTGCATTTCCATGCATTTTTATCATTTCTATTATTTATTTGCATTTCCATACATGCATTTTTAACACACAATATTTATTTATTTTTTACTATTGAGGTCATTATTTGCAAATTTTGACCAAGAAAATTTGAATGGAAAGATTAAAAATCCAGATAGAGGAAGTATTCCATAAACAACCTAACAGTTCCCTCTTGGAATCAAGTTTATGGTTTTTTCGCTTTCGTATTAAGAGAATAAATATGCGAATCATGATATTTTTATTTTTCTTAAATAAATTAAATAAAATTCAACGGTCATTTTATTAGTTTTTACTTTTTAATATTTAGTTTTAAATTTTGCAAAGTCAAAACATCCTAAATTTTGCAAAGTCAAAACATCCTACATTCATGTTATCAAAACATCCTATACTACTTCATGTTATGGAGTAATATATTAATCATTAAACAATTTCTGATGACTTAATGCTAGAGTTACAAACAAAATACTTACAAAATGCAGAAATTCATCATTTGAGTATTTTAGTTTTTATTTTTTAATTATTTGAGACTATTATTTGAATCCATTATTTTACATTTTAAGTTTGTAAATTTTGTGAATATTTTGTTTGTGATACTATCATTACTCAATTCTGGTTGTTGTGCATTTTTTTAAAATAATTTAATTTACATGTTAATTAATATCTTTTACTCATATGCTAAACATTACACGAATACTACCTCCGTCCCGTGAAACATGGGACATTTGCTTTTTAGGAGGGATTTAAGGGAGTGTATTTTGGTATTGAATTTCCAAAAATGTCCTTTGATGTGATGGGTAAAAGTATGATTTGATGGATAGATTTTTAGTAAAAAGGTATGATGTGATAGTTAGGGTATGAAAAAGTAAGGGGTAAAAGTGACTTTTTAATAGAAATGAGAAGTGTTTTGTGGGACGGATAAAAAAAGAAAGGGGAAATGTTTCACGGAACGGAGGTAGTACATCTCATGCATATTAATGTTGTTGGCATATATTTAGAAACAAAGCTATATACTCACTCTAGTGGAAAATCATACGGAGTATGAGATTAATAGTTTGACTTCATAATGTTGAAGAATAGTATTGAAAAATATAATCAATCCGTCCACCAAAGATCTTCCCATCACGCGTTACGGGGCCTAATCAACTTATTTTCAATTCAATTTCTTTGATTATAGGTATAAAATTTTAATATAAAATTAATATAATAAAAAATTTAAATGAAAATTTTATAAAACTAGATCTGACAAGACTATTATTTTATGAAATGAGCACTAAATATAAGCAAACAAAGTTAGATAACTTTGACCATATGAATAATGTCTCAGAAAATATATGGTGGAGTTAGGGATTAATTAAAAGTGAATAATTTGAATTCATTTAATTAAAAAATGATGTGATTTGCATATTATCTTTTAAATACTCCCCATAGGAAAATAAAACATTGTACTACCCTCGTCCCTGAGTATTTGTCCAATTTTGATTTTTTCGGTCAATTATTTTCAATTTTTGACATATAAATAAATAAAATATATATATTGTATAATAATTAGATAAAATAATATTTTGAAATTATTTGATATAATGAATCTAATAAAAATATTTTTTTTATCAATATTTAATATCGATTTTGACTGGAAAAAAAAATCAAAAGTAAATAAATACTCAAAAGCAGAAGAGTAAATTTTATTTTGAGTATTAAAAAGAAAACACACATTAAAAAATAGAATAATGTTTGGGAAGAATAGGGTAGATTAAAGAGGGTGGTTAAATGTGGGTCCAACGTTTTAAACCCCATTTAATGTCTTATCGTGTGACATAAATTCACTAGCACCAATTTTCTTTGTAGCATTTATTATGGTCATGCATTCTATTGAATGAAAGCTACTCCACTTCCGGTACCCTAACCCCCCCCAATCAGTTGGTAATCCTTTTTTTGCAATCAGTTTCTTAAAAGTAATTAAGTACTCCCTCCCTTCTACAAAACCCTTCCGATTTTGACTTTGAGGAAAAATAAGGAAAGTGTAATTTTGGTTGACTTTCCAATTTTGCCCTTGATGTAATGAGAAAAAGTAAGATGAGATAGTTTGGTTATTAGAGAAAAAGTATGATGTGATAGGTAGGGTATGAAAAAGTAGGGGTAAAAGTGGTTTTTTAATAGAAAGTGTAAGTGTTTTGTGGAAAGCAAAAAAACGAAAGAGGAAGGGTTTTGTGGAACGGAGGGAGTACATCTTTAAAAATGCACTTAATAAAAAACATAGTAAAATTTACACTGAATATGACTAAAACATAAGTCATTTTTCAATGTAGGATTTAAATTTTTTTATTTCTTTAATTGGACTTAATAATGACTAGTGAAAAGAATAATGTCCAAGTGATGCTGGATATCTAGTTGAATAACGACTAATAGATAATGACCAATGGTCCTACATTGGAAAATAAAAAACATATGATCAATATGTTATTATATTTTAGTCGTATTTAAGTAAATTACCCAAAAACATAATCAAAACAAAATGAATTGATAAAACAATAGTGGAATACGTATTTACTCATTTTTTTGTATATCTCAAAAGGGATTAAAAAGTCCAACCCTTTGATCCATATAAAAAAAGGTCTAACCCTACTTTATACATCCCGGGGGATCAATGAGATATGAAACCCTACACTGCCGCCGAAACTAGGATCGACAAACTTGACATCCTCTCCTTTAATATAATTGGGTTCATCTTAAGATATACTCCGTAATTTTGATAAATAAAATTTTTATACTGGGTATTGTTTGATATTGTCCTCCTCCTTCATATCGATCTCACTTTTAATTATTTGTTGTTTGAATCGTAAACGCACAGCCGAGCTTCTGGGCTTCGACGACTATATTCCGCCATATGCAAGCGCAAGGGGTCAAGACATTCTCAAGGGAGTCAACTTCGCATCTGCAGCTGCCGGAATCAGAGACGAAACTGGCCAGCAACTGGTACACTTATACACACCTCTTCAAAAGTCAAAACGAATGCAGACATGATGCACGTCCACGTTCATTCATATCATTACGTCCCATATCATATATATATATAAACATCTTGCATGTGATTGTTGATAGTATTATATTTCTAGGGCCAGAGGATAAGTTTTTCTGGGCAAGTGAGGAATTACAAGAACACGGTGGACCAGATTGTGGAATTGCTAGGAGATGAGGACTCGGCTGCAAATTACCTAAGCAAGTGCATATACTCAATTGGAGTGGGAAGCAATGACTACCTAAACAATTACTTCATGCCCTTATACTACTCCTCTAGCAGGCAATACAACCCTGACCAGTATGCTGACATTCTCATCCAACAATACACTGAACAGCTTCGTGTAAGTCTATAGTATATAAATATTGCACGGATTTTTAAAAATTGTACTAATGTTCTCGAAATTTTTTTAAAAAACGTTACACCAATGGCCCCTTGCACCAGATCTGGGAGTGCGCTAAGTGCAATGCATAATACCACACATTTGGAGGGGGCTGGGGGTGGGGTGGAGGGATTTATTTAGGGGGGTGAGAACCATCAATTTCTCGGTCGAAACGCTGAAGGTGCTACAAAAAGATAGTGGCAGCGGCAGTGGCCACGGAACCGAGCGGTAGTAATAATACTAGCGAGTTTTAACCTCAACAAAAAGTTGTTCCTTCTGTTCATAATCTTTTTTCTCGTTTTACTCCGTATAGGGTAAAAAAATATTTGACTTTTCATTTTTGCCTTTGGTAGTGTGGTAAATTGAGTGGTGTAAAAGTAAGGGTATACTTGTCTTTTTAATTATAAGAATGTAAATCACTTCTTCATATATGGTGAAAACAGGGAGTATGTTTATAGAATGGGCAAAATGATAGGGTGGGTGGGTTTATTGTTGCACAGATTCTATACGAGAATGGGGCGAGGAAGTTTGTGCTGATTGGAGTGGGCGCAATAGGGTGCAGCCCAAATGCTCTGGCCCAAAACAGCCCAGACGGCAAAACGTGCGTGGAAAGGATCAACGTGGCAAATCGGATATTTAACCAGAAATTGAGGGCACTTGTGGACGAATTTAACGGCAATACCCCCGATTCAAAATTCATCTACATCAACGCCTACGGCATTTTCCAGGATTTGATCGAAAACCCCTCCACTTATGGTAAACTGCTCTTCGCCCCTACATTTGTGCATTTCTTAGTATTTTTGCTCTTCGCTCCTCCACTTTAAAAAATACTTCCTCAGTTCCACAAAATCGTTCCGTTTTTGACTTTGGGGAAAAATAAGGAAAGTATAATTTTGGTTGACTTTCTAATTTTGCCTCTGATGTGATTGGAAAAAGTAAGATGTGATGGTTTGGTTATTAGTGAAAAAGTATGATGTGATAGGTAGGGTATGAAAAGGTAATGGTAAAAGTGGTTTTTTAATAGAAAGTGGAAGTATTTTGTAGGAAGCAAAAAAACGAAAGAGGAAGAGTTTTGTGGAACGGAGGGAGTAATTTATTTATTTATTTATTTATTTATTTATTTGTTTATGGGTTGGTTGGTTTGTAGGGTTTAGAGTGACAAATGCAGGATGTTGTGGTGTGGGGAGGAACAATGGGCAAATAACATGCCTTCCACTGCAAAACCCGTGCCCAAACAGGCAGGAATATGTGTTTTGGGATGCATTTCACCCCGGCGAGGCCGCAAACATTGCGATCGGAAGGAGATCTTACAGTGCCCAGAACCCGTCCGACGCCTACCCTTATGATATTCGTCGCCTTGCACAAGCTTAGTTTATATAAATTAAATACAAATATTTTGTATCCTTGTTCTTGTTATGATTAATCATAATCATTTATTCCATGTATTATACAAATTATTATTACATTGTTTCTTTATTTCTACATCTCTGTATTTGTTTTGGTGGACGACGACGACGTCGGATTGAAATGCGTTTGCATACGTTTTATTTGCCGTAGTGCATATTCTAGTGCCATATATTCCCGAGTAAAAAAAAAATTTACAAAAAAATTACCATAAAAAAACAAAAGTTTTCAATCTACTCCCTCCGTTCCACAAAACTCTTCCTCTTTCGTTTTTTTTTTTGCTTTCCACAAAATACTTCCACTTTCTATTAAAAAATCACTTTTACCCCTATTTTTTCATACCTTACCTATCACATCATACTTTTTCACTAATAACCAAACTATCACATTTTTCTTTTTCTCATCACATCAGGAGCAAAATTGGAAAGTCAACCAAAAAAAGTATGTGTCTACGTGGCATGTCAAATAACATATGTTATCAATTTTTTAAAAAAAGAAAAGGGAAGATAAACAATTTTAGAGAGTGACGAAGAAGTGGCGAAATATTTTATATATAATTAGATCTATAATTGTAAGTAAAAATTTTACGCCACTTTCTCGTCACTCTTAAAAATCATTCATCACCACATCAATGAGAGAGCTCTTACTTTATACAAAGTAAAACTTAAGCTTGGTAAGCGATGATCTATTTGTAGGGGATGTTTATGAAGAAGAAAGTGAATTGTTGTAAAGGACGATGTGGGAAGTGAGAGGACGAAAGGAGAGTTGTGAGCTAATACTCCTTTGGTCCAACAATAAACTTTTCAATTTGAACAATAAATTTCTTATCTTTTTTAAAATTATTTTATTTATAAATTGATATATCATAAAAAAGTATCAATTATATTATTCAAAATTATATAAAAAATTCTATGAAACAAGATGCGACAAAAGTATTTTATCTTATCAAATTATTGATAAAAATATATAAATAGGATAAGTTATTGAGAAACCGTAGTAGTAATAAAAATGTTTATTGTTGTAGGGTAAATAAAGTTTGACAAAAATTCATAACCGATCTTGTTGTAGGATAACCTATTTTGGTATATTTCAATGTTTTATATTAGCATTACTTTGGTCTTTCTCCCAAATCTTGTTAGAGATATTTTTTCAAAATTGTATCTTATTTTACTAATATGCAATACAAATAAAAAGTATTTGAATCTCAAAGTTTATCCAGTTTGACTCAAAAAGTCAAATTAGATAGATACTCCGGGATGAAGCTAGTATAATATTAAATAAATAAATATTCTTGCAATTTAATACTCTCTCCGTTCCGTTAAACACCTCCGGTTTTGACTTTTGGCCAAAATAAGGGAGAGTTAATTTGGAGAAGACTTTCCAATAATATCCCTAGGGTTGCACGTGGGAACCCAAACCCAAAGCCAAAAAATGGATAAAAGTACAAAAGGCAATCATCATTTACTATTGCAAATAGTTAAACCATTTAATGCTTACAAATATCCCACTGCACGGCTGGGAAAATTACAGATTTGGGAGGGGGGGAAATTACAGATTTGTTTTTTTGGGAAATTTTTAAAATTCCCTCCAAAGAACTTCTAAATTTAGCTCAATAAATACATCAACAACACCATCTTCCCTGCATTAAACCTTCTCACTCTTCCTCCATAATGAGTTAGCATTAAGTTCACTTTCTTCCCTTTGCATTTATGGCTGCCTCCTCCTTTTCCACACACACACAATCTGATTTTGAAGATGCTGTCTTGCCACCACTGGTTGAGGTACCCTTTGCAGCAGCTTTTAATAGTCCTGAAATAGAAAGGGGAAACTGCATTTCTGGTGTACACGCAAGGAATGAAAGAAGGAAGAAAGTTATCGATGCGATCCTACAAAAATACAAGGACGGCAAACTTCAGCACGGTTGTATCAAGTCAGTAGCTAATGAATTCAAGATTTCAGATCGTTCGGTTAGAGACCTATGGAGAATTGCTAAAGCTCAACTGGACAGAGGCCTTGCTATTGTTGTTTCCTGTAGGTCGCAAGGAAATACAGGGAAAAAATCTCTCACTAAGGACTTTTCCAAGCTTAGCCAGCTTCCTTTTCACCAACGCCAGACCCTACGTGCAGTAAGTCATTGCTTGAATGTGTCTACTACAACAGCACACAAGTGGCTGAAGGAGAAAAAGATAAAAAGACATTCTAATGGAACGGAGGGAGTATATCAAAACTATGTCTTAAAAGTAAATAAATTATTACGTATGTTTTAAACCACTTATATTAGAACATTATAATTAAAAATATACTATTTCCATAATATGTACTCTAAATTTGTAAGATTTGGTACAAAAAAAGTCAAACTCCAAAAACTTATCTTGATAAACATGATTTAGAGCTTATTTTTTTCGAGGGAAAAAACCAATCTTTCCCCTTTCTATGTATTGTAAAAAATTAGCTAAGATGCAAAGGCATCACTACAATTTACAAGTTTTGTTGATGATGGTGTGATAGTATAGTGTCATAGCTACCACATAAAGTCTTTTTGAAAGGTTAAAAATAAAATAAAATGGTGGAAAGAGCTAGAAAATAATTGAAAAAATAGAAGCAACTAAAAAAACTAGACCAAATAAAACAAAGTATCTTTGTTATCTGAATGTATTTTTAAACATTTTTAGGTCATTTTATTAGTATAACTATTATTTTCTAATTCCAAATGTTAATGCTTTTTCAGGTCAATTTAAATTTAAAAAATATCTCTTTATCCATATTTTTTGGAATATAGGTCAGTGTCATGAAAATTATTAAAAAAATGTTTTATTTATATTAAAAAGTGAGAAAAAATAATAATTAGTGTAATCACAAAAATTGTGACACGCCAAAAAAATAAAATAGACAATTTGGAATGCACCCGAGGCACAGATGGGCACGAGTCCCATAGCAATGCAATTGGTTAACGTTTTTAAACATTGTGGCGGCCACTTAAAAAGATTCATAAATGGTGGAAAAGGCCGATGTGGGAAAGAAGGGGACAGAGTAACAACAATAATGAAGATGAATATTACTAGTATATATAGAATAATGAACGGGCTCTACTATACATATCAGTTTAAGCTTTTGGGTTAAAATAGTATATCTTGACTCCAAAGACAAGTGGTTAATTTTACCTGACGTCTACTCGTTGTTCTCGGCCTACCAGAATATTAATATGGTATCGGTGCAGGTCTGGTCCGGGTTTGGTTCTTCCTGGTTGTTTGAAGGTGAGTCTAGCAAAATGAGCTACCCAATCGTGGCTTTGGTTGAGTTGGCTATTAGAAATATAGACGGCACCATCCGTTGTGTAGGCTAGCTACAAGAGATTGAGATGCTAAATTCGTTTGTCTAAGTGCTAACTAGGTCAGACTAATTACCACTTGAGGTGGAGTGTTGGAGTTTCCGCATCGGAAAATAAAGATAAATATCACTAGCATACTCCCTCCGTCCTAAAGCTTTCTTCCCAGAGCACTATTCTAACTTCACAGGAATTTATATTTATTTGTGTTTTTTCATGGCCTATATGATAAAATAAAATATTCTTGTCACCACTTGTTTTGTTGAACTTTTGATGTAGTTTTTAAATATGTATGTTTTATTTTTTATTTCTATACCAATATTTAAATAAAATAGATTGAAAAAACTTGGAATTTTTCTTCGTTTAGCGCAACGGGAAGAAAGTTTTAGGACGGATGGAGTATATATACGAGTGAAGTCCTACCTATCGCCTTAAACTTTTGAATTAGAATAGCTGATTCCAAATTTATTAGAGAAAAAATATACTCGACAGTTTATTAATTGTTCTCGACCCACTAAAATTTTACGGAGTAATAAATATACTCATAGAAAATATTTTTTGTTCTAATTTTAAAATCTATAGCTTGGATGCGGGTGGCTGCATCGAATGGGGAGTAACATTGCTCGATTACGGAGTTGATGTTTTAGACTAATAAAACTTCTAGCAACAAACTCAACAAAAGTATATACCAAGTCTAGTTTAACTTAGAATTTGTTATCTTTCATCTAATGTGATCGAATCTAATCTCATTTTATTAATATCTAATTTGATTTGATTTAATTGTAAATTTGTAATCATATATAAAGCTTTATTTGATCTAATAATGTCTAATTTGTTCTGATCTGATTGTAATAAAATAAGTTGAAAAAAACAAGCTCTTGATCAATTTTTTATTAAAATTATGATGAATTCTCATAGTATCTTGTAGATAAGATATGAGCATTGTTGATTTAAATAAGGGATAAACTTATTTGAATGATTTATTTGACATTGTAATTAACTAATTTTTAAAAAAATAATTTTTTTTTAAAAAGTCATTGGACAACTAAGGGGCTATATTCGATATTAAGTCTATAATTTTTTTTAGATTTTAAAAGTTTATGGATATTCAATTTAAGTTTTTACTTAAAAAATTAAAATTCTAAAAAAACACTGATGGAACTTCATTCTAACGAGTAATTATCTCATGATCTCTTCTCTCAAGAGTTATAGAATAAGAATGATAATAATATCGATTGGAACATTGAACATAAGAAAGACATATTATGGGTAAAATGGATCCACATCCCGTAAAGGGGGAGTTGTCTGGAAATATACTCCAAAGACGGATGCATTGCATGTTACTACTGGAGAATCATGATTAAAGTTAGGGATGCATTTAAGAATATGCCAAAGGGCATGACCTATGGCATTAAAGAAGGATATGATTGGCTCCCCGGGGAAGGAAGTACACCAAGTTCAAAAGATGTGGTTTGGAACAAATTAACTCCTCCCAAATTTCAGTTTATTACATGGTTACTAATGAAAGGTAGATTGCAAACAAAAGAATGAGCAAATTCACCCAAATGAATATGGATTATTGTGTTTTGTGTGCTCAAGGAGTGGAAACAGATCATCACTTATTTTGGGACTGCTTGAAAACACAAAGGATATATGGAGAATGTTTCACTTATTACAAGATGCAAATAAAAGTGGGGAGTTTACAAGAACTGGAGGGCCGTGTAAAGAAAACAAACCAAGAAAAGAAGACTTCAAATGATGGCAATATGGGCAGGGTGTATCTACGGCATATGGAGATGTAATAGGGTGGAAGTGATGTCTTGTACAAATTTTCTGAAGGTGAATGTGGGATTCGATTGGTCCCTTTAGAACTATGTAAACTTCAAATCAAATATTATATTCTA